AAAAATGAACTCATAGTTCTTTTGTACAATAATACCCTTAGATTTCTTTAGCAGTGAAGCAGGGATGTTTTCATGTGAATAAATACAACTTTGTATTTTTTATAGTTGCATAGTATTCCACCACATGGATATTTAATAATTTAAGTTACTTGGTCTTTTGTTTGCTTTTTTTAAAATCATAAGCAACATCATGAAATATTAAAAGGAAAGTAAATCTAGATATATAGCAAAAATATTTTAAAAATTCCTAAGCTTAGTGATGATTTGCGGCAGTTATACTTGCTTTATATTTTTCCTGTGCATTAAGAAGTCCCATAGAAGTTTTTTAAAATTTGTTTTTTGTCTGTAGGTTACAATAATGGTGCAGATAATGGGTGTTTGTGTCTGGCACTAGGTTAAGTAATTGAGACTATCTCATTTAATCACAGAAACCTTGTGAAGCAGGCTTTGTCATTCATAGATAAGGAAATGGAGGGAACCAGGATAGTTAAAATAATTTAAATGAGGGTGGGGTCATGATGTGACTCTGGAACTCCTCTCCTTATCTGTGAATGCCTTTGAGGGTAATACGGAATCTCAGCAGAGCATTTCAAGTCAGTTAAGGGAGAGGGTTGTAGATTTCTTTTTTTTCTAACAGTAGTATTGTTCTGGTGTAGAAAGATAAAGATTTAGGAGTTAGGAATGGAATTCCTTCTGAAGGTTGCTTTGCCCCTTCCTACTTATTTAGGTGATTGTTTTAGTAACTACTCCTTGCCCCAGTGCATTTCATGGGGATATTGAGACCAAAGGGCTCGAGTGTAAACAAAAAACTCTTACCTTTGAGATGTGTGATTAATGTCTAGTTCACAGATGTACTTTCACAGGGTTAGAGAGATCTTGAAAGAGGTGGGATTTGAGGCAACAGATTTTTCTTTAAGTTGTGAATGTTAAATAATTGAATAATTCTAAAATAACAATGGAATATTTACTGCTTTAAGTACTTCTGTGGTATGATATTAATTATGACTTGCTTTTATGTGTGCTGAGTGAGCCTGGGTTTTTCTGAGTAAGTTTTGTTTAAGCTGTGTAATATCTATATCCATGCTCGGGTGGGTCCCAAGAGGGAGGTTGTTTTCCTGCCATTGCTGAGCCTTACTATATAGTGCTTCTTGGATAGCAGGCTACAACAACTTTTCTCATGTTGTTGTATTGTTCATCTGGCACTGATAATGTTATCCTTGCATTGCTAGTGTCAACTGTGTATTGATACCAACTCAGAAGAGGAGATTGAATTGATGGGAAAGATATGATAGGGATTTGTGTTTATGGGAGAAAATGCTTTGTATACTATAAAACTAAACACATTTTGCATTGGTTCATCTGTCTGTTGGTCTATAGCGCAGCCATTTATAATCTATTAGGATTTGATACTAACTTTAAAGTCAGAAATAGCCCTGGCTGGTTGTGACTCAGTGGATTGAGTGCCAGCCTGTGAACCAAAGGGTCACGCATTCGATTCCCTGTCAGGGCATATGCCTGGGTTGCCAGCCAGGTCCCCAGTAGGAGGCATGGGAGATGCAACCACACACTGATGTTTCTCTCCTTTCTCCCTCCCCCTTTCTAAAAATAAATAAATAAAACCTTTAAAATAAAATAAAATCAGAATTAGAAAAAGTGGACATAGAACAGTTTGTGTTACATAGGCTGCCATATGCCAGAAAGTCGATAAGGATAAAACTTGTAAGCTCCAGAAGTTTTAGTTATTTCATAGGAAGTTCATTAAAATACAGTATTAGAATGAGAAACTTTTGACAGTTATATAGAGCAGTAGACAAACTTGAACTGTAAGAATATTGGTATTTGAATGTTATCACAATCATTTACTTAAATATTTTGATATTAATGATTTGAATTGTCATAGTGTAAAAAACCTTAGTGTAGTCCTATAAGGGCCTACCATCCTATGTTGGCATTGATCTAAACATAAAAAAGTGTGACCAAATTGGAAGTTGTCCTCTTTTTTATTTTATTTTTTTAAGGAGGTAAGAGGTTGCTTTAGTTCAGCAGTTCACAAATTTTTTGGTCTCAAAGTCCCTTTGTGCTCTTAGAACATGTTGAGACAGCCTCAGAGAGCTTTTGTGGAGTATTATCAATAGTTGATATATTAGAAACCTTGAGATATTTTTAAAAATATTTACCAATTCATTTAAAAATAAACCTACTACATATTATGAAAAATAACTTTTTTAACAGAACAAACAAATTAGTGAATAGCATTGTTTTGCATTTTTGCAAATCTTTCCAATGTCTGGCTTAATAGAAAACACCTGGGTTCTCATATATGCTTTTGCATTCATTCTAGTGTGGCATGTTTTTGTTGTATATAAAGAAAATCTAGCCCCGGCTGGTGTGGCTCAGTGGTTGAGTGCCAGCCTGTGAAGCAAAGGGTTGCCGGTTTGATTCGCAGGCTAGGGAACATGCGGGGTGGGGTGGGGGGGGCAGCTAGGTCCCCAGTGGAGGGTGTGTGAGAGGCAACCACATATTGATGTTTCTCCCCCTCTCTTTGTCCCTCCTTTCCCCTCTCTAAAAACACAAATGAATAAAAAAAAAACTGGTTTCACATAGATAACGTAGTTGGAAAAGAGGAATATTTTAATAGTTATTTCAGATAAGTGTGGCTATCCTTTGAAATTACACCCAAACTTTACAGCTACTAGTTTCATCAAGGTTAGTTTCAATATGGAATCTAAAACCATATCAATGAACTTTTTTTTTACTGTTAGATCAGTGATTTTCAACAGGTGTGCTGTGGCATGCTGGTGTGCTGCAAGAATTTTTAAAACATGCAGTACCTGACTATTTAGTCAGGGGCCCTGGCCTCTTTTCCTTTAGATTGTCAAATAAAAATTTGACAACAGCCAGCAACAATATCCGTCCAGCGTGAAAGAATTAACATTATACCTTTTTTGTCAGATCAGCAAAAATATTTTGTGTGTGCTGCAGAATTTTAGCAATTAATGTATATGTGCCATGAAATGAAAAAGATTGAAAATTGCTGTTAGAGTAAAATCCATTAGTCTATCTTGTACTTGCTTTTACCTGTATATGAGTTTTTCACATGGATTGGTCATTTGGTCATCTCCAGACTTACGCAGATCTTCCAAATGTTGACACATTTCATGATATGGTATCAAAAAAAACTACATTCATTAATATCAACAGTAATGTATTTAATCAGAAATAACTTTTTTAAAGTGATGGGAAAATGTTCAAGTTCGTGATGGTGGGTACAAGTTTTCAAAATACTTATTTTGGCTTGAAAACTCAGATTTTATAATATGCAATAAACATTCATTGCCAATGGTTTTTCTTGAAGTGACAGATTCATCTTGTTCAAGAAAATGTCTGTTAACTACATAAGTTTAAATAACCTTAGTTTGTTCGTTGTTCTGCCAAGTAAAAATAATGCTAGATGAGGAAAACTTCTAGTTGAGCTTGCATCACAGTTATACAAGTGCCTTTTCTCAGACTTCTTAAAGCAGTGGAGTGCTTTATGTATATGTTCCATTTCATCACACAGAATATTTTAAAAAGCATAAGAGTAGAGATTTAATAAAACTTGTAACTTCATTAAGGACATTGTTAAGTGGACCTGACTCTTTAAAAACTAAGTGAATAGAGGGTACAATGAACCACCAATGACTGTATACTTTGGTACCTCTGCCTTGATTCGTTTTTGTACCCTCGTTGCAAATATCAACTCAGTGAAGGAAAAAAAAGGCAAATAATTTTTAGTATTACTATGAAGATAGCTTTGATCTTGTGGTCCCCTCTAGTAGTCTTTGAATTCCCAAGAAGTTCATAGACCACACTTTTAAGAACAGTTGGCTTAGTTCTTTACATAGATTTCCTTTTGCTCTCAAATCAAATAAAGAGAATGAAGAAGATGCAAATAACTGAGATTGTTAGCTTAGTTTACTAAATCAGGTAATGTCATTACCAGAGATAATAAAACTGGGTGAGGAGTAAGTATTTTTGAAGAGGAAAGTGAATTTTGATTTTGGGGGACTTGAGGAATGTACAGGTGGGAATGTTTATTAGTACAGCTCAGCAAGTTTTTTTCTGATTGTTAGAAGAGGCTTCACCATACATACTAGTGGTTGTTGCCAGGGAAGTGAGTTGAGAGAGAAGAGGGCAGGAGAAGGAACTTTGGTATCAGGGACATCAAGAAAGGAGAATTTCAAGAATGGATTGGTCAGTATTACCTAATGCTTCAGAGAAGTCAAATAGAATGGGGACTGAGACTTGACCATTGCGATTTAATAGTGAGATTACTGGTGACTTGCCAGAGCAGTAGGAGCCAGATTAGAGAAGTATGCAAAGGCTACTCTTTGAAGAAGTTTTGGGGTAAAGGGAAGAGACTCCTTGAGCAATTAATTTGAGAGGTGGGCTGTAACTCAAAGGAGAGAACCGTGAAAGAAAATTATTTACAGGTGTGATAATACAGATAAACTGGTAGTATGATCTATCTTGCAGAGAAATTAGAAACTGGAGAACGCTGGGTTCTTTGGCAAGAAAAATGCACAGACCTATTTGGAATACAGACTTTTTAGTAGAGATGGAGAGTTCCTTATTAATTTTTTTCTGTTTAATTGCTAGGTGTTTAGTTTGCTACATTTACTTTAAATCCACTCATTTTAAGAAGTTTAAAGAGTTTTTTAAATGCAGGTGATTTGACTTTAACAATCTGTGGTTCTCTCAGAATGAAACTTCTGTTTTAGCTACTTTCAGTCTGTGGTAACAAGTGATAAAAAAGAAGGGTGGGTTTCTTTCTCTTGTACAGGAGTGTGTACATGCTTGCATGCTTGCACATACCCTTCCCCTGGTGCAAGATATTCAGGTCTCCAGAATGCCTGGAGGCAGAGTTTGGATTACAGCCTCAAGTAGTATTTGTATTAAAAACATGTGTTGTTTCCTAATGTGCTTGTATTTCTAACTTCCTTTTCTTCTTTCTCTTCTAGTCTGTTCTCTGGGGAGGCAGTAAGGGGCCGTCGAGCTGGCCTCGGCACAGGGAGAGGCTGGACTTCCTGTCTCTCTGTGCTGAATGGCTGCGATGGCGCCCGCTCTCACTGACGCAGCAGCTGAAGCACACCATATCCGGTTCAAACTGGCTCCCCCATCCTCCACTTTGTCCCCTGGCAGTGCCGAAAATAACGGCAACGCCAACATCCTTATTGCTGCCAACGGAACCAAAAGAAAAGCCATTGCTGCAGAGGACCCCAGTCTAGACTTCCGAAATAATTCTACTAAGGAAGACTTGGGAAAGCTGCAACCACTGGTGGCTTCGTATCTCTGCTCCGATGTAACACCTGTTTCCTCGAAGGAGTCATTGAAATTGCAAGGTGTCTTCAGCAAGCAAACAGTCCTTAAGTCTCACCCTTTCTTATCTCAGTCCTATGAACTCCGAGCTGAGCTGTTGGGGAGACAGCCAGTTTTGGAGTTCTCCTTAGAAAATATTAGAACCATGAATACAAGTGGTCAGACAGCTCTGCCACAAGCACCTGTAAATGGGTTGGCTAAGAAATTGACTAAAAGTTCAACACATTCTGATCATGACAATTCCAGTCCCCTCAATGGGGGAAAACGAACTCTTTCTTCATCTTCTTCTCAAGGGGGTGAAGCAGTGGCATCTGAATCTGGGGACTTGAAGGGGGGTATGACCAATTGCACTCTTCCACATAGAAGCCTTGATGTAGAACACACAACTATATTTAGCAATAATAGCACTGTAAACAAATCTTCTGTAAATTCCATGGAACAGCCGGCACTTCAAGGAAGCAGTAGGTTATCACCTGGCACAGACTCCAGTTCTAACTTGGGGGGTATCAAGTTAGAGGGTAAAAAGTCTCCCCTGTCTTCCATTCTTTTCAGTGCTTTAGATTCTGACACAAGGATAACAGCTTTACTGCGGCGGCAGGCTGATATTGAGAACCGTGCTCGCAGGTTGCAGAAGCGCTTACAGGTTGTGCAAGCCAAGCAGGTGGAAAGGCATATACAGCATCAGCTGGGTGGATTTTTAGAGAAAACTTTGAGCAAACTGCCAAATTTGGAATCCTTGAGGCCCCGAAGCCAACTGATGCTGACTCGAAAGGCTGAAGCTGCATTGAGAAAAGCTGCCAGTGAGACCACCACTTCAGAGGGACTTAGCAACTTCCTGAAAAGCGATTCGATTTCAGAAGAATTGGAGAGATTTACAGCTAGTGGTATAGCCAACTTGAGGTGCAGTGAACAAGCATTTGATTCAGATGTCACTGACAGTAGTTCAGGAGGAGAGTCTGATATTGAAGAAGAAGAACTGACCAGAGCTGATCCAGAGCAGCACCATGTATCCCTGTGAGTAGAACCCATGTATAATATCTTTGTTGAGAAATGTTGGGACAAGGGAGAAAGACTTGGTAAATTCCCACCGTGGGGAGAATGGGGTTCTTTGTATGTAGGCACCTTGGTTCCACTTGTCTTTTCTGATACTAGTCAGGTTGGTGCATATATGTGTTAGTGAAGAAATAAAAGATATTTCTGACATAGTGTTGTGTTGTTGTAGGCTAAAAGCTAATTTCCTTTTAAAATCTCATTTATTAAGAAAAAATTACTTGTAAAACTGTACCCATGCTTTACGTGAATAGATTTTTTTGAAAATGTATGTAGGCTATTTTTGTAAGTTCTATGACTTGACTTCAGAATTTGTTATTTCTAGTAAGTAGGGACAAAAGTTTAGTTGACCTAGGCAACTCCGCTGAAGTTTATAATTGGTTTAATTGAGTCAGCTCAATGCACACAGTCCTTGCACGAGATTCCCTTACATTTAAAAAATCAAAACAGCCCTGACTGGTGTGGCTCAGTTGGGCATCGGTTGGCTGTTGTCCTCCAGGTGAAAGCTTATTATTAGCTTGATTTCACATGAGGGTGCATGCCTGGGTTACAGGTTCAGGTCTCCTGTCTGGTGTGTATGAGAGGCAACTATTCAGTGTTTCTCTCTCTCACATTCATGTTTCTCTCTCTCTCTTCCTCCATTCCCTTCTCTCTCTAAAAAATTAAATATTTTATAAAAAAAGAAGGAAAGAAATGGGCTTGACTCCCTAAATAGCTTTCATGACAAATAGAAAAAGACACACCCCTTTCCTCCAGGACCCACCTCAGCAGGCTGCATACATTCCAGTGGATTCAGCCTTCATTTGTCCCTCAGCCAGGGTCCTTGTGCTGAAAAATATCTTACAACTGCACTTGGGTCCCTGTCCCAAATCTAAAGTGCATATGGCATTATCAGTAATATAATTGTATTTAATGTTTTTAATGTTTTCGGGGATCTTGATTCTGGAGAAAAACCACTACCTCTCAATAAATCCACCAGAGTTCCTTTACTGGAAATAAGTTTGTTTCATTCCAAAGAAGAACCACTAAATGAACTCTCCTTGCCATCTCACTTTCAGGTGCAAGAAAGAAAGAAAAGCAAGCAAGCAAGCTGCAAGCATTATTAAAAACAAAAAGACTAATCAGAAAATGTCTCTGTGTATTTTATAGGTTGCCTCTAAGCACAATCCACTTTTTTACAGCTTGATTCTCTGCCTAAAAGAGCCCATCTTTATCAGATTTGGACTTTATTCTCTTTCAGCTGAGTTAAATGTATTGACCTCTTTGGGATAAATTCTTACTAGTTGTTCCAAATATTTGCCTTGAGGAAAATTCTGTGTAAGCTTTGGGTGGTACTCAGTTGGCGTGCTGGAGCCAGAAGGTTCATGTTCTTCATGTTCTTCACTCCTCATCCTGCATTCAGCTTCTTATGGATAAATAAGGAAGGACAGTATAAATACATTTCTTTAAAGATAAGTCAGTCTACATTTTATCTATTTACAAGTGTTAGACTTATGAGAGAGGGAAACATGATTATTTGGAAAAGAAGGGCAGGAGTCTTGACTAGTAGATCCTCTTTCATTTCCTCTTCAGGTAGGGATTTTGTAACGGTTGGATTACTAGAGAAGGCCGAAATAGGTGGCTATGTTGGAATAATTGGTTTTTCCTTAACTGTAGTAAAAAGGTGACTAAGGTTTTCACCAGACACTTAATTAAGGCAGCTGTACTTTTAAGCATAAGTAAAGTTCCCCCCTCAATTTTGTTTATATTATCCACATGGATAACACTATGTGCCTGAATATGAAATTTTGGTTTATATTTCTGTATTGAGGGGGGAAGTTGGGATAATTTTGCTGAATATCTTTCTTGTAGATGTAGTTCCATTACCATTTGTTAGCTTACTGAACTCAAAAGTCCACTTTATTGAGATCTAAATTGCATAATATATCAGAGGCTTGCTATTGCTGTAATAAGTTTTTTTTTGTAATAAGTTATTTTTTCTTAAACGGATTAGTAGTTTATATCAGCTTGCCAGTATTTTTGGTGTTATCCCTACTGACTTTGCATAAACCATTGCTTTAAAAAATCTTGGTTAACATTGAATATTTTGTTTTAGAGTAATTTCATGTAACAAATATTGTAGTTGAAGCATTTTAAGTTTCATGTACTTGTTTTGTGTGTTTGAGGGAAAAAATCTAGAAGCTTACTGTTTTCAGGATACATGGTATCGAAGAAAGTTTGTTTTGGAAATGGGGGTGGTTGTTCCAATCCAGTGAAATTAAAATAACAGAATTTTCCTTATTCCATGGGGTAATCTAGTGATTTGAAAAGAACTCTTTAGTCCATTCACTCTACTTAGTTCTGGGCATTCTTCTAACATAATGGTTTGTTGATTGGAAGCGTGTGAAGTGTAAGGACAGCTCACAGATCATTTTAGGGATCAGTTGAATCCTCTTACAGTTAAGTCAACTAAATAATAGTTTTAAAAGTTGAATGTCCTTGCATCAGATTGTATTAAAATAAGAAAAATTGGGGCACTAAGGGCATCGTGAAATAAATATACTTTTGCACCTTTTTATTTAATTGAATTTAATTTGGAAGCACCAGTAAAGCACCAGTACTTCAAAGATCTTGTTGAGTAAGGTCACCAGATTGACTCCTAAGTATTTAGCCAGGTGTTTGTTGACTTTCTGAGTATTTTAAAGATTTTTCAGTAATTGGCCAGACAGTGAGAGTGGACGTACTGCTTTGATTAAAAAAGAAAAAAAAAGAAGTTATTTGGATTCTGAGAAGTCTTTTATTTGTGATTTAGTAGTCCCTCCCAAATATTGTAACCACCTTTATAATTCTTGAGTGCTAGAATAAGTAGTTAACTCTCCATTAGATTGACCAAGCTGGTGAGTTTCAACTTGTTCTCCCCTTCTAGTGGCCTGTCTGTTTAAAATTTCACTCCTTTGCTGAAATACTTCTGCCAGAGATAAAGTAGCTAGTTTTTGTCTAGGCAGTCATGATGAAAATATCCAGTACAGGAGACTGTTGAAATGAATTGTTTTGAAATGATGTTGCTTAAATTATAAGTGGATGGTGCTGTGACAATTACAAGCCTTTACTAAGAACTTACTTGTGTTTTTTCTTTTTTATCTCCAAGAGGAAGAACAGCGATCCATTGTAAATCCTAGGTACATGGTAGCAGTAGCAGAATGATCAGTGTTTATATGTTGTTGAGTTTTTAGCGAATTGTTAAATATTATACTTTATGGTTAGTAAATTCTGTATCACTAGATAATCACAGGTTAGGAAAGTCCCTTTTTCTTGATTAATATTTTTGGTTAACTGATTTTACATTTAGTTTAACACCATGAAACCTTTCTATTTTAAGCTCTTTTTGGAAAATCTTCCTAAAATGTTGTGTATATCTTCCTGTTTTCGTACATGTAATTACTAGTTTGAAAATTCTGTGCTATATTGGGTTTGACCTATATCATTGTAGAAGATCACTGGGAGGAGCAGGCACTTAGGCATCATCTCCTTGATCAAGGGACTAGCAAGAAACTGTGTTTCAATAAATGCCTTATTGTTTAATTCTTTAAAGAAACGATTTTTAAAATTTATTTTTAGAGAGAGGGGAAGGGAGGGAGAAAGGAAAAGAAATATCAATGTGTGGTTGCCTCTGGCCTGCCCCTACTGGGGGACTTGGTCTGCTTCCCAGGCATGAGCCCTGACTGGGAATCAAACCAGTGACCCTTTGCTTTGTAGCCAGTGCTCAATCCACTGAGCCACACCAGCCAGGGCTTAATGTTTAATTCTTAATTGTAGAAATAGGAAAGAAGCATTTATTTATGTCATAATATATGTATGTAATAACAACTCTTGGGTGACTCGTGTGCGTGCATTCTCTTCTATGGTTTATAGTCCTCCTCTTTTCTAAGAGTTTTGTTCTGCTATTTTGTTACGGATTCCTGAATTTTGTTTTTATTTTCTTGGTTCATGTGCTTATAAACTTCTGTAGTAAGTACTTGCTGTTAAGAAAATACTTTTACAAGTCCTTTTCTTAAGTGTGCTCTTAGAGCAGCAGTGTTCTAGATACCTGAATGTTATGTAGACCTTTCCTCCCTCAAAAATTTTTTCCTTACTAAAAGAAAGAAAGAAATAGGCTTATTTTATCCAGGTGGTTAGTATAAAAATAATCCCACAGAATGTTTCATTGTGACTGTTGGAATATGAGTTTTAAATAGTAAATATATATTGTACAATGCCTTCTTTATAAGGACCTTCGGGGGAAAGACATGTAACCAAGAGTAATTGTATTTTTTTCTAAGCTTTCAAGCCTGTTTTTATTACCTAGATTGTGTGTAATTTGTGTTGTCTACTAAGTTGCTTTTCTCCTGTTGGCTTTTAGAAGTTGAGAGCCAAGTTTGTAGATCTTATTATTGCTGTACCTTTTTTTAAAGCTCATTCTTGGCTTCATTTTTGTTCTCCCAGTTCTTGTTTTATTTTCATGTTTTTATTTCTGCTTTAATGTATTCTAACCTATGTTTTATTTGTCAGGTAGCCTTCTGAAGTCTGTTCCATATCAGGGTTGGGTAAAAATAAATGATACTCAGTTTAGGGACACTGAAGGAATTGTTTGAATTTTGGATTGTCTTAATTGCAGTGATTCTCCTTTACTTCTGGGAAATTTCACACTCTTGTTAATGAAGACTTCCAACAAATTCCTAGTATATTTGTAGAATTTGCTTTTTAGGTACTCTGGAATGCTTTGTCTATTAACTCCTACTTGAATTTATTAAGTGTACACAGATGATGTTGCCAAGGTCAACTTCCTATTTATCTTTTTACAGAATGATGGTGTGAGAGGAATATTAGCTAGGAGACCTAAGATCTAATTCTCTGCTACAAACTGGCTGAAGGTCTAATAAGCAAAGTAACCACTTTTCTAATAAAAATGAGGGAATTGATCTAGATGATCTATCTGTAGTGTTCAG